AAAGGGGTACCTGGACCCCCAACCTCTGCGAGCCACAGGGGGCCTGCGCTCTCCGACCCTCCTCCCGCAGGGCCCAGGTGGCCAAGCCCCAGCCGCCTCCTCTTTATAGAACCCAGACATGTTGGCCCCTCGCCCTTCTTCCCTCAGACCGGAGTTCAGCCCGCAGTTTCTTCCTTCTTCAGACCCAGGAATCCAGCCTCCCAGCCCCCTAGATCCTTCCTGCCTCAGACCCAGGACTCCAGGAACTAGCCTCCTCCTCCTCCCTCAAACCCACGGGTCCAGCCTCCCATCCTAGAACCCGGGAGTCCGGGCTACAGCCCCCTCCTTCCTCCTCCCACAGGGGTCTGGTGACAGGAGTCCGCACCCCTAGTCTCCTCCTCCCCCAGCCCCCCAGCCCCCTCCCCTCACCAGATGAAGTCGGTGCAGTGGCTGCAGAAGGTGGGCTGCTTGAAGAAGCGAGCGGTGAACTTGTGGCTCTTGACTTCGTGGACCACCTTCTGCCTCAGAGCCCCCTTTCTACAAAACAGGGGCCGGGGTCCCCCCTCTGAATCACCTCCGCCGGGGCCCAGACCAGCCATGGCCCCAGACACGTAGCAGGGACCAGGATCCTGCCTTTCTTGGGGGAAACAGGTGGAAGGGAGAGGAGCCCGAGACTCGAAAGATCAAAGGAGCCGCAGGGAAATTCCGAGGTGGGCAGGAGAGGGGCGAGGCACCTCCAGGTGCGGAGCGCGCCGGGCAGGGAGCGGCACCCTCGGGCGCGCCGGCTCCGCCAGGGGGAGCGGGCGAGTGTGGCGGGGGGGAGAGCCGAAGGCAGGGGCGCCGGGAGCCGGAGGCACGGGCGGCGGCGGTGGGAGCTCCAGCTCCGGCACCTGCTGAAATGTGGGAGCCCCGGGTGGGGGGAGGCGTTGCCAGGACGACCGAGAGGGCGGGGTTTCGGCTTAAAGGCGCTCCCCTCCTGGAGACTCGGGACAAATGTCCTCCCTCCCCGCCCCCAACACGTGCACACACCCACTCCGAGGGTTGGCTGGAGGGAGGGGCATCCTCTTAGCCTGGCTCCCCCACACCCTGCAATCTGTCATCCTGCCCTGTGTTCCTCCCTCACTAGGATGCCTCGTGCGTCCTGTGGGCGCCCTGGGGTCCCTGTGTCTGACCCTGCCCCTCTCCTTCCATCAACAAACTTTATGCCCAGGGCTAGGAATCCAGCGGTGGACAAAGAGGCTGCTGGGGTCCTCACTTTCTCTGATGCTGCCGGAGTCTTTATTTCTCCGCCCCCCACCCCGCACCCCGGCCTCTCCATTCTTCGTATGGCTGTCTCTGCCTGGGAGTGTCTTTCTTGTGACCTCTGTTCCTCCTCTCCCTCTATTCCCAGATCGAGCTTTCTCCATGTGTCTCTGTTTCTGCCTCTCGGAGGATGTTTTCTTTTCCCTGTCTCAGAGAAATGCTGTTTCTATTTCTTTCTCTTTCTCTATTTCCTCTGCTGTGTGTCTCCATCTGTATCTGTCGCCATCTCTGGGTCTTGGTGTCTCTGCCCTTCTTGGGGTCTTGGTCTGTCTCACTGTGAATCGGTCTACCTCTGTCTCTCCCTCTATGTCTGATAAATTCTTCCGCCTCTGTCTCCCTGAGTCTGTCCCTTTCCCTGTCTGTATTTGTCTCTCTGGCTCTGTGACTCTGTCTCTCCCTTCCTCTGCCTCTTGATCTCTTTGGAAGTCTGTCTCTGTCTTCCTCTCTGGGGGTGGCTCTCTAGGTGCTTGGCCCTGTCTCTCCCTCTCTCTCCTCACCTCCACCCCTGTCCTTATAAATGCTTTTGTCTGTGTCTCTCTCCCTTTCTCCGGCTCTGCAACTCTGTCTGTCTCTGTTTTTGTTTGTCTCTTCCTGTATCTCTCTGGTTCCATCTGTTTCTCTGTGCTTGTCCTTCTCTGGCTCTGTCAATCTCTCTCTCTGTCACTGCATGGGGGGGGGGGGATCTTTCTCCCTCCTCTCTTCTCTGTCTATCTCTGTCTCTGTCCCTTTCTCTCTGAGCCAATCTCTATTTGTCTCTGTGGCTCTTTGAATCTCTTTCTGTCTCTAGGGGTCTCCCCATCCCTCTGTGTCTGTGATTCATTCTCTCTGTGTCTCTGGCTCTGTGAATCTCTATGTCTCTCTGACTCTGAATCTCTCTGTGTCTCTGGCTCTATGTATCTCTCTCTCTGTCTCTCTCACTCTCTGGCTCTATGAATCTCTGTTTCTCTGACTGTCCGAATCTCTGTTTCTCTGACTTTCCAAATCTCTCCGTGTGTCTCTGGCTCTCTGAATCTCTCCGTTTGTCTCTTTGGCTCTGTGAATCTCTGTTTATGATTCAGGATCTATGAATGTCTCTACAGGTCTCTGAATCTCTCTGTTTCTCTGGCTCTCTGAGTCTCTGTCTCTGGCTCTGTGACTCTCTGCCGAGGGTCTCTAGATAGAGACTTCCCTCCCTGTGTCTCTGTGATTCAGTCTCTCTGTCTCCCTCCCCTCTTTTCTGTGTCTCTGTCCTCTGTCCCCTTTCTCTGACCCACTCCACGTGTCTCTCTGACCCTGTGAATCTCTCTGTCTCTGAGGTCTCTCCCTCCCTCTGAATGTCTCTGTAATTCAACCCCTGTCACCCTCTCTCTAGGCCTCGCTGGCTCCGGCGTCCTCTTTGGGCGCCCCCTCTCAGGAAGGGGGGGTCTCTCCGAGGGCCGGCGCGGTCCGTCTCTTCCGGCCTCCCCACCCCTTGGTCGCTCTCCCTGCGTCCCCGCCTCTCTCTTGTCGGGCTCTGAGCCTCCCCAGCTGGAGAACGCTTTCCAGTCCCCGCTCTCGGGAGAGCCGCTCTGTTGCCAGGGGCAACCACGGCCCGCCCCGGGCTGCTGGGGCGCAGTGCATTCTGGGACTTGTAGTCCGAGCCTGAGGACCAGCCGCTCTCGGGACGCGGCCGAGAACTCCGTCTCCCGGCGTGCCCCGCGAGGCTGGGCGGGACGCTGCGGCTGCGCCTCGGGGGGACTCTGGACGCCCAGCACACCTTCTCTGGGACATTTTAGGGGTCCCGGGCGGGTTTCCGGGGATTCCCAAAGCCGAAGGGAAAGTGGGGGAATCTGAGTCCTCTTGTAACCACTCTCTCCCCAAATGTGGAGTCCACTGGCCTTCCAGCCACTTCTAGGTGACCTAGGGCGAAGGATAGGGGTCGCGGAAGGCCGCGAAAACCGATCTGGGAATCCCACCACGTCTAGTCCAGTGTCCTTGGGTTCTTTCCCGAGTTAACCACCGTATCACCCCAGAGTTCTATAGCTGTTCTCCCGGGTGCCTTCCAGAAGGGATTCAGGCATGGCATGGGAGAGAGGAGGGTGGGCGAGGCGTCCTTTGAGAAGACAGCGATGGGGTGGGTTGACGCTCGAGAGCGGACGCTGCAGAAATGGCAGGGGGGCCTTTCCTCGCTCAGCGGGTGTGTGCGCCCCAGCTGGCCCTTCCCTCTCCCCTTCCAGGGGAACCCTTCCTTCCCTTGCGGTTTCTCTACCCAACTGCTTTTGCGGATGTAGATGCAGAAAGGGGGTGTGTGAGCCTACGTTTTTCTTGAAAACTTTTTTTTTGTTTTAAATAGAGACGAGGTCTTGCTATGTTGCCCGGGCTGGCCTCAAACTCCTGGGCTTACGCGACCCTCCTGCCTTGGCCGTCTAGTGTTGGGACTACAGGCACGAGCGTCCGCACTGGCTGATCCTGGACTTTTGTAGGGGCTTATATCTACGTTTGTGTATTTGTGATTCTTCTGAGGTTGGTGAAACGGACAAGATGACCTTCTGTGGGACAGAGATTCGTCGCAGTAGTTCATCTCATCTGTAGAAAGGTCTTCGGTTGACCAGGTGTATTCAGGGGCTGACACTGGAGGGTAAGGGGGGAGCTGATAGGGGAATGCAGGCGGGATCAGATCTTGAAGGCCTGACCGAGGGGCTTTGATAGTGCCTGCAGAACACGTGGCACGGGCTACAAGACTTCAGCAGGGAAGGGCAGGATCAGATGTGCAGGTTGGAAGAATCCCTCTGGGGCCAGGGTGGGATGGTAGAGAAGGCTGGGGCAATCAATACCTCAGGTGAAACAAAATGGAATATGAGGCTGGGTGCAGTGGCTCGCACCTGTAATCCAGCACTTTGGGAAGCTGAGGCGGGTGGATCACCTGAGGTCAGGAGTTCCAAAGTAGCCTGGCTAACGTGGTGAAACCCCATCTCTACTAAAAATACAAAAAAAAAAAAAAAAAAAAAAATTAGCTGGGCGTGGTGGCGCATGCCTGTAATGCCAGCTACTTGGGAAGCTGAGGTAGGAGAATCACTTGAACTTGGGAGGCGAAGGTTGCAGTGGGCTGAGATCGCGCCGTTGTACTCTATGCAGCCTGGGCAACAAGAGTGAAACTCCATCTCGGAAAAAAAATTAAAAAATGGAAATTTGAGCTGGGCCGGGAACCTGGAGAAGAGGGTGGTAGAAATGGTATTTAGGAGGAAGAATACTGTTTGATGAGGGACTAGGAGATGAGAGAAGGTAGGATCATGTGCTTGGTTCTCAGCCCAGAGAATGGGGAGCCTCGAAGGAAGAGGTGATTTGGGAGGAAAACTTCACTCAAATTGGGACATTGTATTCGTGAGGTGCTCAGGGCACTGACTCCAGGGAGGGAGAAACGTAGTTCATTTCTCTCCCACCCAACCCTCCTGGTTTGAGTCAGTCATTTAGGAGACCCAGACTCATAGGATCTTCTGACGAGGCCAAAGTTATCTTGGCCTCAACGCCATTCTCTCACTAAATCCAAGAATCTGGCCCTTGCCCCTCTCTGAAAGACCTACCCATTGACTTATTCTTCTTCTTATTATTTTTTGGTAGAGACGGAATTTCACCATGTTGGCCAGGCTAGTCTCAAACTCCTGGCCTCAAGTGATCCGCCCACCTCGGCCTCCCAAATTGCTGGGATTACAGGCGAGAGCCACCCCGCCCGGCAGCCCTCCCAGTTAATAAAACACAAGTCCTTCTTTTATCTTTATATTGACATTTAAAGAAAAAGAACGTGATGGATAGGAGAATAGGGGAAGGAACAAGGCTTCTATGATTAACAGCAAGAGCTGATGGGAACCAAAAGCTCCAGGGAATTAAAAAAAAATAAAATATATATTTATACATTTATATATATATATATATCATGTTATGCATGTGAGTCCCAGACAAGCAGGCAGGAGCAGCAAGAAGCAACTAGCACACAGAAACACCCGTGTGTGTGCAGCACACATTCAAGCAAAGCCATCCCTCCGGCCAGGACAGCAGCAAGCCCCACCATCCCACCCACCATCAAAACACAACAGCTGAAAAGAAACTTCCCTGTTTAAGGACCACTCAGTAATTTTTGCCCTCACGACCAGGAAAAAGCAAAGAACAAAACCAAACCAGTAAGGCTGATCTTGCCTTGAAGGCGGGCAGTGGCCATTTTCTTCTCCTCTCTGCCAAAGCAGGACACATTATTTTTAACACGGAGGGTCACATCACTGTCCCTCACAAATACTTCAAACAGTTGTCTTCAACATCCTGTGGTTCTCTGTCTAACTCCTTTTGTGTGTGTGTGTGAGACAGTTTTGCTCTGTCACCCAGGCTGGACTACAGTGGCACCATCTCGACTTACTGCAACTTCCACCTCCCGAGTTCAAGGGATTCTCCTGCCTCAGCCTCCCAAGTAGCTGGGATTAAAGGCATGTGCCACCACGCCCGGCTAAGTTTTTGTATTTTTAGTAGAGATGCGGTTTCACCGTGTTGGCCAGGCTGGTCTTGAACTCCCGACCTCAGGTGACCACCTGCCTTGGACTCCCAAAGTGCTGGGATTACGTGCATGAGCCACCATGCCTGGCCCCAACTCCTTTTTTTTTTTTGATACCACAGAGAATAGTTGGGATGAAAGGCAGCCAACCTTGCTTTAAGATGGCCTCTAGGCAGCGGGTGTTCCGCAAGCCTGGCAAAAATTCTGGAGCCAATCTCTAGCAAGGCTGAGTGCCAGGCGGGGCCTAGGGAGCCAGGGTCTGTGCTTAAAGCCTCCCGCCCGTTGGAAATTAACTTCAGATATATATATATACTTAATTTAAAGGGGAGGTGTACTGCACACCCTCCTCCACTAGGAGAAAGGGGGCCCAATCCCCAGCTACCCACCCCCCACCCCCCAAACACACACATACACACACACACACAGACACATACACACTAAGGCACAGCGGGGCGGGCAGGCATGCTTTGGCAATGGGGCCCCTTGGGAGGCTGTGGCATGGCCGGCTGCAAGGGGTGTGGATGTGTGGAGCTCAGCACCTTTGGAGGTGGGTGGGGGCAGGGAGAGAAAGAAGTCCCAGGGCTCCCGAGGACACAGGAGAAGGTGGTTGGGAAACAGATGAGAAAGCCAACAGGAAACCCGGCAAAGAGATGAGAAAAAAAAAACAGTGGAAAAGAGAACAGGCTGGGCGTGGCGGCTCATGCCTGTCCTCCCAGCTGCTTGGAAGGCTCAGGCAGAACTGCCTTAACCCACGAGGTGGAGGTTGCAGTGAGCGGAGATCGTGCCACTGTGCTCCAGCCTGGGGACTCTGTCTTGAAAAAAAAAAAGAAAAAAGAAAAGAAAAAGAGAAACGTCTCAGGGATGAAACAGGATGTGGGCAGCAGAACTGCGGAAGGAAACAGCGAGGGGAAAGGAGAGGCGACGCATCCAAGAACTGCTTAGAGTCTGATGAACTGGAAGGGAAAGGGCAGGGAGGGGACACTGGAAAACAGAGCCAAGAAGTCCGCAGGAAAGAAAACTCGCGCAGGAAGAACCAAGAGGTCTGCAAAGAGAACGGGAGCCTCCTGGGAGAGAGTCTTAGACCTTGACAAAAACCAGGTGGGCAGAGTACACCAGGTCGGCCACATACGCCAGGAGGTTGATGGCCGTCAGGATGGCCACGGCCAGCCGGCGGTCCCAGTCACACACGTAGTAGTTGTGTCGGCTGCCGCAGCTCACATCTCTGGCACGCCGGGGCTGGCCGCCATACTTCTCGTCAAACTGGTAGAGTGGCCAGAGGACGAGGGCAGTGGCGTAGAGGAGGACAGAGAGCAAGGCCAGCCCCGACAGGAAACTGGGGAAGGGGATGGGCAGCACGTTGGTGCACTCGCCCAGGTTCAGCAGGATGGCGACGGCCGCCAGGATGAAGCAGATGGCGTAGACCGCCACGCACCACTCCAGGGCGGATTGGTGCTGGTACAGGTGGGCGCTGCTGATGAAGACGAAGATGATGCAGGCCACGAAGGTCTCCAGCACCTTCAGCAGCCCCGGCACGGTGGCCATGTAGCCTGTGATCTCGCCGGGCCGTGCCCGGGTCCAGGCCACTTCGGTGGCATAAGCCACGCAGGCGACGCAGGAAAAGAAGGTGGCGGCGATGGCGTGGTCCCGGGAACGGCCGTGGCCCATGAACTGGACAAAGGTGGTGGGGTAGATGATGGAGGCCGAGAGGCAGAAGAGGGCCGCGTAGCAGGCGAAGGTGATGGGGAAGTTGCGCCAAGACAGGGGGAAGCGGGCCTGGAGCCCACAGAGCTCCACGATGAGGATGATGAGAGTCACGGAGAAGCAGAAGCACCAGGTGAACATGGACCAGTTACCCATGAACCCCGTCCAGGCGCCCACGCTGGCCACCAGAGAGAAGGCCACGCAGGTGGACACCAGCTGCAGCAGGCGAAGGAGACCCAGGGGCTGGGTCAGGGCTCGAGGGGACCCCACAATGGTGGGGGACCCCAGGCCCGAGGACGTCGTCATGGTGGTCGTGACAGTTGTGCGGGTAACCGTCACTGGCATGGCTGCGAGAAGGGGGAAAGACAGTGTCCTTAGAAGGTGACAAACCTAAGAATCCAGGTCCCCTAGCAGTTGTCTACCCCAGGGAGAAATTAATACGAGCTCTAGTTAGGGAGTTCCCAAGATGTGGGGCTTTGGGTTGTCTTTTTTTTTTTCCCTCTCGATGGATTTTCTCTCATTGCCCAGGCTGGCACGATCTTGGCTCACTGCAACCTCCACCGCTCGGGTTCAAGTGATTCTCCTGTCTCAGCCTCCTGAGTAGCTGGGATTACAGGCACCCGCCACCATGCCCGGCAATATTTTGTATTTTTAGTAGAGACGGGGTTTCACTATGTTTGCCAGGCTGGTCTCAAACTCCTGAGCTCAGGCGATCCACCTGCCTCGGCCTCCCAAAGTGCTGGGATTATAGGTGTGAGCCCCCACACCCAGTTTGTTTTTGAGACAGAGTCTCCCAGGCTGTAGTACACTGGCATGATCTTGGCTCACTGCAGCCTCTGCTGCTCAGGTTCAAGCGATTCTCCTGCCTCAGCCTCCGAGCAGCTGGAATTACAGGCACATGCCATCACACCCGACTTAATTTTTATTTTTAGTAGAAACAGGGTTTTACCAGGTTGGCCAGGCTAGTCTTGAACTCCCGACCTCAGGTGATCTGCCAGCCTTGGCCTCCCAAAGTGCTGGGGTTACAGGAGTGAGCCACCGCGCCCAGCCTTGGGTTTTCAAATGGGGACAGTCCTGGGCAAACAGCAATGAGCCTGTCCCCTCTGGATCTAGGCTCTCTCCTCCCCTCCCCATATCAGAACGCAGGAGTCTAGGCCCCTATTTTTCTCCTTCCCAGGAGACTCCTCTCTTTCGGGACCTAACTGTTGTAGAACCACATTTTTTGCTTCCTACTCCAGATACGGTGTTTCGGTGTTTTCGTCTCTCTCATTCCCCCAGGGACTGAGTGACTTGGCCATTTAACATTCTGTAGTCTACCGCACCATCCCTCTGGCCAGGCATGGGTGTGGCTCATACCTGTAATCCCAGCACTCTAGGAGGCTGAGGCAGGAGGACTGCTTGAACTCAGCAGTTTGAGACCAGCCTGGGCAACCTTGGGAAGGTTGCCAAAAAAAAAAAAAAAAAAAAAAAAATTTAAATTAAAAATTAGCTGGGTATGGTGCGGGGTGTGGGGTGTGTGGGGGTCCCAGCTACCTGGGAGGCTGAGGTGGGAGGATTGCATGAGCCTCAGAGGTTGAGGCTGCAGTGAGCTGTGATCGCACCACTGTACTTCCAGCCTGGGAAACAGTGAGACCCTGACTCAAAAAAACCTTTTTTTAAATTTACAAATAGGCCGGATACATTGGCTCACACCTGTAATCCCAGCACTTTGGGAGGCCAAGGTGGCTGATCACTTGAGGTCAGGAGTTTGAGACCAGCCCGGCCAACAGGGCAAAACCCCATCTCTACTAAAAATGCAAAAGTTAGCCAGACGAGGTGGTGGGCACTTGTGATCCCAGCTACTCGGGAGACAAGCAGAAGAATCACTTGAATCCGGGAGGCAGAGGTTGCAGAGAGCCAAGATCACGCCACTGCACTCCAACCTGGGCGACAGAACCAGATGCCTTCTCAAAAAAATAAATAAAACAAAAATAAAAAATAAAGCATCCTACTTCTGCCACAACCCAAGTGTCAGGACAAAAGGCTTGTCTTCCACAGGCTCTGAAAACCCCACCTCTCAACTTTCTCTGAGTATTCAGTTCTGCACCAGAGACCCTGACGCTGTGAGCAAACTTCCTTCTTTCACGTAACAGTGACCTAGACGGCTCCACCCTCTAAACAGCCCAACCTCCCCAGGCTTCACTTAGGGACCCATCTCCCGACCTCCCAATAAAGGATCTCTTCTTAGAGAGATCCCAGCTGGGGACAACCAAGAGATCCCTCCCTTCTGGCAAGGAGCCTGAACTCTCAGGGCACCCCTCCTCTCCCTACCCCCACCTCAGAGATCAGGAATCTTCACTCTCCGTCTAACTCCCACCTGAGGTTTAGGTCTGGAGTACTGCAACCCAAAAAAGCTTCATTTCGGCCTCCCCCTCCCCAGTCCTGAAGAGTCCATCCACCTCCACCTTCTCCCCCAAAACCCAGCCAGCTGGCCCCACAGCTTCTGGGAAACTCAGCTCCCAGATCCCCAATTGTGCAGTAGGAACCCCAGGCCCTTCCCCTGAACTCTCTAGGCCTCACGGTCCTGTTTTTATTTTATTTTATTTTATTTTAGAGACAGAGTTGCTCTACTGCCCAGGCTGGAGTGCAATGGCGTGACCTCGGCTCACTGCAACCTCTGCCTCCTGGATGCAAGTGATCTGCCTCGGCCTCCAGAGTAGCTGAGATTGCAGGTGCCCGCCATAACGCCTGGCTAATGTCTGTATTTAGTAGAGATGGGAGTTCATCATCTTGGCCAGGCTGGTCTCAAACTCCTGATCTCAAGTGATCCGCCCACCTCAGCCTCCCAAAGTGCTGGGATTACAGGCCTGAGTTACCACGCCCGGCCCTCACCGTCCTGTTAGAAGGGGTCAGACCTCTGGCCCTGGGCCCTCAGCCTAAAGCATCCCAGGTGCCCCAGACTCCAGGAAACCAACTTCCTTCTTTTGTCCTTGGGAAACCTACAGCTTTCACCCCCTTTGTCCGATGACCCTCAGGAATCGAGTGCTGGTTTCTCAGAAACCAGGTGCCCAGTTCTCTCTTCAGGCTGGAAACTGTCTTATCTCTCAGCCACACCACGAAACCAGAGGCCTCTCTCAGCCACAGGGAAGTGACTTCCTCCTTTCAGCGCCAGGCACTGCAAGCAGCAGCAGAGGCCTAACCTCTCCCCCTGGTCCCAGGACAGCAGCTCCCTGAGGCCAGAAGGCCGGGGCAACTCACTTCTTCCTTAGACACCTCAGAGTCTGGAGCCTCTTCCTTGGAGCCCAAGTTTCCCGATCCTTCTCCCAGGATCTAGGAGTCTAGCCCCCAGACCCTCCTCCCTCGGACCCAGGGGTTCAGGCCCCCAGACCCTCCTCCCTCGGACCCAGGAGTCCAGACCCCAGCCCCTCCTCCCTCGGACTCAGGGGTTCAGGCCCCCAGCCCCTCCTGCCTCGGACTCAGGGGTTCAGACCCCAGCCCTTCCTCCCTCGGACCCAGGGGTTCAGGCCCCCAGCCCCTCCTCCCTCGGACCCAGGAGTCCAGACCCCCAGCCCCTCCTCCCTCGGACCCAGGGTTTCAGGCCTCCAGCCCCTCCTCCCTCGGACTCAGGAGTCCCGGCCCGTAGCCCACTCACCAGCGATCTTGGCAACGAAACCCACGGAGAAAGATCTGGCGGTGGAGACGGATTAAGCCCCACACACTGAACAGCAGCACCTGAGGAGGAGGGAGGCCGTTGGCGTCCGTTCGCGTTGCTCCGCCCTCCGTCCCGGGAGCCGCGCCCCTCAAGGACAGGAACGTGGCGCGCAGCCCCGCGGGGCCCGGCCGTGACCCCGGGGAGGCCCCGCCCCCTCCTTCCTCCGGCTCCGTAAACTGTGGGTGCTGCGGCGGGTGGAGCCCAGCCAGGGTGCACGCCCCGCGGGCCGGCGTGGGCGCGAGTGTGAGCGCCACCCTGCGAGCACGGGGGTGCGGGCGGCGGAGGGGTGGGCCCTGGGCGGCGGCTGCGGGGCGGGCGGCGCGGCCGGACCCGGCGTCTCCGCGCCTTATAAGGGCCTGGAGTCGGCTCCGGCATCTGGAACGCGTTGGGGACCTGGAGGCGGCGCCCGGACCCCCGCCCGCCTCCGGGGCTGCCCGCCCTCTCCCGATTTCCGGAGGTGGGGGTCCCCGACTCCCAGCGTTGGAAGCCCCCATTTCTGGATCCCTATAAAAAGGGCTGAGACCCTCCCCCCCTCCAGAGCGTCTCTAAGACCGGAGCGGGCGGGGACCCCGGCCTCTGAGGGGCTCGGGCTCCAGGCCGGAAACTGCACGCGGTGCTGGAGTCAGGCCCGAGGCCCGGCCACGCCTCCCACGGGCTCCCTGAACCCCAGTCGGGGCCTGCGGGAGTCCCGGGTAGGCGCCACCCCGAGCCACACGCCGCCCGCCCCCACGCCCCTGCAGGACCCCCGAAGGAGAAGGAAGTAGGGACTGGCCCAGCGTTCCGCCCTCTGGAAGGCGGGCACTGCCCCGCCCCAAGCAGGAGGAGGACGAGCGAGGGCGTCACTCATTCAGTCCCCCGCGCTGGGTGGGCGCACCGGGGAGGGGGCGCCAGGGGGACGGGGCCACCCCGCCCTTAGGGCTCCTGCAGTCGCCTGAGGTCAGAGCTCAGGAATGCGCCGCCGGAGCGCAGAGGGTGAGGAAACACCCCTCCAGGCCTCCTGGCAGAGCACGGGGCTCCCCGGTGCCTCAGGGTCCTCCCTCCTCTGCTCGAGACGCCACACCCATCGCTCACGCCCAGAATCGGGCCCCGGAACCCCGGCCTCGGTTCTCAGCACCCAGAGATGCGGGACGCAGCCCTGTCACCTCCTCGTTTCTCAGCTCCATCTACACTTTCGGAGCACGGCGCTGGATCTGAACACCCCCTCCCTCGGGCCTTCAGAGCCCAAAGTTATTCTGTCTGTCCCCTGGATGCGGAGGGGTCAGCAATTCTGAATTCTTTACATTCTCATTCCCAAACCCAGGACACCTAACCCCAAGCTCTTCCCCTCCTAAAGGATCTCCACGTACCACATTCCAGCCTCCAACTGGGGTACCTACGAGTCCCCATCTCTACTCCCGCAGACACAGGAATCCAGACCCCAGCCCCTCCTCCCACAGACTCAGGAGTCCAGACCCCCAGCCCCTCCACCCTCAGATCTAGGAGTCCAGACCCCAGCTCTCTCCTCCCTGGGACCCAGGAGTCCAGGACCCAGCCCCTCCTCCCTCATGCTCAGGAGTCCAGGCCCCCAGCCCCGCCACCCTCAGACCTAGGAGTCCAGACCACAGCTGCTCTCCTCCCTGGGACCCAGGAGTCCAGGACCCAGCTCCTCCTCCTTCAGACCCAGAAGTACAAGCCCCCAGGCCCTCCTCCCTCGCACCCAGGAATCCAGGTCCCCAGCCCCTCCCCCCTCGGACCCAGGAGTCCAGGCACCCAGCCCCTCCCACCTCGGACCCAGGAGCCCAGACCCCAGCCCCTCCTCCCTCGGACCCAGAAGTCCAGACCCCCAGCCCCTCCTCCCTCGGACTCAGGGGCCCAGGCCCCCAGCCCCTCCTCCCTCAGACCCAGGAGTCCAGGCCGCCAGCCCCTTCTCCCTCAGACCCAGGAGTCTAGGTCCCGTTCCTCCTCCTTCCAGACATCTGACCTGCAGAGTCCATGTCCTCAAGCCCTCTCGTCTGCAGAACCCCAGGAATCCTAACCCAGCTCCAGTCTCCCTAGGGACCCAGACATTCTGAGACCCAGCCCATTCCTCCCTCTGGCCATAAAAACCTAGACAGTTGCGTCCGCCCTCTGGGGTCCCCACAACCTCACCTCAGGCAGCCAGGGCCGACTGCGGCTGAAGCAAAGACGACAGCTGCAGCTGGAAGGGTCTGTGCTCTGGGTGGGGTTGGCGGCCAAGGGAGCGAGCGCCGGCGGGCCGAGGGTGGGGCCGGGGCAGGGCGCGGCTCCAGGATAGGGCGGTGGACAGGGGACTTCCCCGAGCCAGGGTTATCCCAGCCCCGCCCCGAGGCGGGGCCAAGAGAAGGCCACGCCCCTCGCGGGGAAAATTGCAACGCAGAGCTCCCGCCCTACCCCAGAGAGCCGAGTGGAGGGCTGAGGTCACCGTTGCCTTGGTGACAAAACAGGAAGACACAACAGCTGGCGGCGTGGGGACTCCTGGGGGCTGCCCTCCTCGACACAGCCCTGGAGGAGTCTCCAGGGTAGGCAAGGAAGGACCGTTACCATAGGAACCCGCATGTTTAGGGTTTGTTTAGAACGGAGCCCCCCAGCTCAGGTCCCCACCCCCATCTCACTCAATTCTCCCGCTCCCTTCCTGCCCCTTCCTTCCTGGTGTGTTCCGCCTCCACCCCTCCCTTGCTGGATGAAACCTTGGACACCTGGTCTCAGCGGATTGGGGGAACAGGCTCCTCAGTTTAAGGGGGTTTGTGGGCTAGGATCTCTGTCTCCTGGAGCCCTGAGAATTGACAGCAGTATTCCTGGGCTTTAGGTGGTTCTGGGCTACGATACCTGCTTGCTGGGTCCCCCCAAGAAACAGAGGCTAGATTCCTGTATTTAAGGATCTTCAAAGGGCAGCAAAATGCTCCCCTAGTCCCCACTGGCATCGGGCCCCGCGGGGTAAGGGATTCGGACTGGACGCAGGTCTCAGATATCACAGTAAATAGGGGTGGGGTGTTTTGGGGGCAAAATTCCTGGGGGCTACCGTGGTAGGAGTTGAGGGCTAGGACTCCGGGCTGCACAGGCCCAGAATCTTGGCTCAGAAGAACAATCAGGCCGCGGCGCAGTGGCTCACGCCTGTAATCCCAGCACTTTGGGAGGCTGAGAAGGGAGGATCCCTTGAGCGCAGAAGTTCGAGACCAGCCTGGGCAACACAGGGAGACCCTGCTCTATTAAAAATAATAATAATAATAATAATAGAACCATCAAAGCTCAGGCTCTTCGGTTTTCAGAGCAGAAGTTGCAAGCCGAGCCGCCTGGGTCTGGAAGGCAGATATTTTTGGCCTACATTCCTGACTTCTGGATGGAGGGAGGGACTCAGAATTTTAATGAGGATGGGGCTGGAGCTGGGGCTAGGGGCTCTGGATTCCCGGATCCTGCAAGAGGGGAAGGGATCCAAGGGGCTGGTGGGCCCGGAGCCCCAGGCCAGGGCAGGGCTGCCGGGAGCGTCTTTTAAAGGCGGCTCTGCGGCCCTGAAACGGACTGCCAGAGCCAAAAGAAAAAGAGGGAGCTGAAGGTCGGGATGTCGGGCCCCCGAGGAGGTGCAAGGCGGGGACCCGGGACGCCTGAGTCCCTCCCTCCGGCCGCGCTCACTCACCACGCTCTGCAGTCGTCCCGGGCGCGGCCTGGCTGGCGGCGGCCGCTGGGCGGGGCCTGGTGGCGGCTGCGGATGCTCAGCGACGCTGAGCTAACGGGGCGCGTCTGGCGCTGCTGCCGCTGGGCACCTTCCAGGCCGCCAACGGAGGAGGCTTTGAGGCCAGCCCAGGGGTGGAAGCCGCGCAAGTGGCAAAGGGAGCGGTCGGATGGGGTCCGGGCGCTGGGGATCCGCGTCTGCGTGCGCTACGGAGCGGGGAGGGGCCGGAGGGGGACCTGCAGGAAGGGGGGCGGGGGTCTGCAGGAGTCGGGGTGGGGGCTGGGTGGAGGAAGGTAGAACCTGTGTGCACTTTTTGTGCTTCTGCAAAGGAAAGGGGGCACAGACCCTCTTTGTTACTCTGTGCCCTGCATAGGGGATGGGGCCCCAATTCGCCCAGGTCAGGCCCTGTCTAAGGAGGGAGGGCTGTGGACGGATAGGGAGTGGGGACGTGGTGTTAGTTGGAGACTCTCCTGGGCCACCCCTAGGCTCTAGTTACAGGTCTCCTTGGCCCCAAATGTAGCCGCAAAACTTTCCCCTAAATCAGTCACTCCCCCTGACCCCATAGTGACACACTCGAGGTACCCAAAACGGCCCAGGGGTGGTCTCCACTTACAAAACTTACTGTGTTTTTCCTTGTGCTGGCAGCGGTTCCCCTGTAGACGCTAGAACCCCTCTACAGCAGACTTCAGGGTAGCAGGAAGAGGAAGCAAACTTCTGAATTGTGAAGGCGGGGCGCAGTGGCTCACCTCTGTAATCCCCGCACTTTGGGAGGCTGAGGCAGGCAGATCACCTGAGGTCAGGAGTTCGAGACCAGCCAGGCCAACATGGTGAAACCCCCGCCTCTACTAAAAATACAAAAAAATTAGTCGGGCATGGGGGTGTCGCCTGTAATCCCAGCTACTCAAGAGGCTGAGGCAGGAGAATCACTTGAACCTGGGAAGCAGAGGTTGCAGGGAGCCGAGATGGCAATGGCAGTCCAGCCTCGGCGACAGGGCAAGACTCTATCTCAAAACAAAAAACAAAACAGTCCAGGTGTGGTGACTCACGCCTGTAATCCAAGCACTTTGGAGGCCAAGGCGGGCAGATCACTTGAGGTTGGGAGTTCAAGACCAGCCTGACCAACATGGTGAAACCCCATCTTTTTTAAAAAAATAAAAATTAAAAAATTAAAAAATTGAAGAGTGTGTTACTGAGTGTGATCATAAGGAATGGCACGCTTGCTGGGCAGGGTGGCTCCTGCCTGTAATCCCAGTACTTTGGGAGGCCGAGGTGGGAGGATCATCTGAGGTCAGGAGTTCCCGACCAGCCTGGCCAACATGGCAAAACCCTGTCATTTGTAGTTTTAGTAGTCACTAAAACTACAATAATTAGCCAGGTGTGGTGGTGTGTGCCTGTAATCCCAGCTGCTCGGAAGCTGAGACAGGAGAATCGCTTGAATCCGGGAGGCGGAGGTTGTAGTGAGCTGAGATCATGCCATTGCACTCCAGCCTGGGCAACAAGAGTGAAACTCCATCTCAAAAAAAAAAAAAAAAAAAAGAAGGACCTTGAGGAAAAGCAAAGGATGCGTGGAAAGGCTAGGGAATCACTCAGGAACGCGGCAGGAAGCCAAGAAGAGACAGCAGAGAGAGAGTTCTCGATGTCAGGGGAGTCACAGCTTGGTGGGGAAGCCACCATTGCCTCCAGCACCACTGGTCACTGCCTTCCCCCTTGTCACTGTACTTTCATTTTCTTTCTTTTTCTTGAGACAGAGTCTCATTCTGCTGCCCAGGCTAGAGTACAGTGGTACACTCATAGCTCGCTGCAGAATCAAACCCACGGGCTAAAGAGATTCTCCTACCTCAGCCTCCCAAGTAGCAGCAGGAACCACAGGTGTGCACGACCACACCCAGCTGTTCAGTGTTTTTCTTTTTTACTTATTTATTATTTTGAGATGGAGTTTCACTCTTGTTACCCAGGCTGGAGTGCAGTGGTGTGATCTCAGCTCACTGCAACCTCCATTTCCCGGTTTCAAGTGATTCTTCCGCCTCAGCCTCCTGAGTAGCTGGGATTACAGGCTAAGTTTTGTATTTTTAGTAGAGATGAGGGTTTCACCGAGTTGGCCAGGCTGGTCGTGAACTCCCCACTTCGGGTGATCCACCCACCTCAGCCTCCCAAAGTGCTGGAATTACAGCTGTGAGTCACCGTGCCCGGCCTTAAATTTATTTATATTTTACTAATTTAAATCTAAAGCTGATAGTTCAGTTATTCAATAACTTTTACATATGTTTGGACAACTTTGGTATGAGAATTTACTTTTCAACCATCTATTTTATAAATTCTAAATACAGATCAAACATTTCCCTTCAAACTTTGCATCCAAACTGAGATGTGCTCTAAGTGTAAAACACCCACTAGATTTTTGTTTTCTTTGAGGCGGAGTCTTGCTCTGTCACCAGGCTGGAGTGCAATGGCGTGATCTTAGCTCACTGCAACCTCTGCCTCCCAGGTTCAAGTGATTCTCCTGCCTCAGCCTCCTGAGTATCTGGGATTACAGGTATGCGCCACCACACCCAACTAATTTTTGTATTTTTAGTAGAGACAGGGTTTCATCATGTTGGTCAGGCTGGTCTTGAACTCCTGACCTCATGATGCACACGTCTTGGCCTCCCAAAGTGCTGGGATTATAGGTATGAGCCATGGTGCGTGGCCATACCCACTAGATTTTAAAGAGAGTACCAGTAAAAAGAATGAAAAGCGGGCCAAGTGCGGCAGCTCATGCCTGTAATCCCAGCGCTTTTGGAGGCTGAGGTGGGCAGATAACAAGATAAGGAGACTGAGACCATCCTGGTTAACACAGTGAAACCCCACCTCGTCTAAAAATACAAAATATTAAAAAATTAGCTGGGCGTGGTGGACTGCATGCCTGTAGTCCCAGCCATTCAGGAGGCCGAGGCAGTAGAACGGCTTGAACCCAGGAGGCAGAGGTTGCAGTGAGCCAAGATTGTGTCATTGCACTCCAGCCTGGTGACAGAACCAGACTCCATCTCAAAAATTTTAAAAAAAAATCTAGCGAGTATTTTATACTTAGAGCACATCTCAATTTGGATGCAAAGTCTCAGCTACTCAGGAGGCTGAGGCAGGACAGTGCCTTGAACCTGGGAGGCAGAGGTTACAGTGAGCCAACATCGTGTCATTGCACTCCAGCCTGGATGACAAAAGTGAGACTCTGTCTCAAAAAAGAAAAAAAACACACACATTGGTGTCAGACATGTTGGGAGTGGAAACAAGTTCCTAATCTTTATCCCAAGTGAACTCTTCCCCTGAAAACCTCTAGTCCAGAGAATGCTCTGAGGCCATGTGGGAGGTCAGATGAGCAGTCTGTGGCTCTGCTCAGCCTCTCTCCCTGGCGTCCTCAGGGCTTGCTCCATGGGCTCAGGAGCAAAGTAGTCGGAGGTGGGCTACACCAGCTATGTCACTGATGAATGCCCACCTAGCTGGCAGTAGCAACTGCCGAGCCCCCAGTGTGGTACAGTTTCCTCAGAAGACCGAAAAGCTAAATACATGGGCTCGTGAGGATTACACTGGAGCCCTTTCATCACAGACTGGGCAATGAGTTTTTCCTCCCTAGAATAAACAGCTCCGGGCTTGTTATTTGCTTTTCTTGCCCTTTGCACTTCTGCCAACAGCAGCATCTGTGTATGCACTGAATGGCCCTATTCACCCTCATGTTGTCCCACACAGTATTGCTTCTGATCAAGGAGCTCCATTTATTAGGAGGAAGCCAGTGGGGAGCAGTCCACATACCTCATTACCGCAAAGCAGCCAGCCTCGTGGAACAGAGAGGCACGACCTGTTTGAGACTGGGTTACACTGCCAGCTTGAAGTCATCATCTTTGGGGTCGGGGTGCTGTTTTACAGAATGGGTAACCCTCTGAACCAGGGGCACATCCCAGGGGATCCCAGTTTACAAAGACCTGGGAGCTCAAGAGTGCTATTTCTTTCTCTTTTTTTTTTTTTTTTTTTTTTTTTTTTGAGACGGAGTTTCGCTCTTGTTACCCAGGCTGGAGTGCAATGGCGCCATCTCGGCTCACCACAACCTCCGCCTCCTGGGTTCAGGCAATTCTCCTGCCTCAGCCTCCTGAGTAGCTGGGATTACAGGCACGTGCCACCATGCCCAGCTAATTTTTTGTATTTTTAGTAGAGACGGGGTTTCACCATGTTGACCAGGATGGTCTCGATCTCTTGACCTCGTGATCCACCCGCCTCGGCCTCCCAAAGTGCTGGGATTACAGGCTTGAGCCACCGCGCCTGACTCCTCAAGGTCCTTCTACACTTCCCTCCTCTGCTTCTTGGATCCAGAGGCAACTCTGTGGTCTGCAAACAAGAACCAGCACAGGCAGGGGCTCTCCCTGCCACACGGCAAGAGACCCTCAAGAATACCCCTCAGTAGTCCAAGAGGAGCTTTCATCCCATGAAATGATTTTCCTTCTCCTCGTGATGCAGATTGGATTAACAGATGGTGACTTTTGTCATCCTCAAGCAAAATAGACTGAAGTCTTCTGTTTTGAAGACGTAGGCTGCATTTTTGGGGGAACGAGGAAGGAAATCTATTTGATTTGTAAAATTCCCCAGCTGAATGTACTTCTCAGACTGGAAATAGATCAAGACTCCATCTTATAGGGGACTGAAGGATGGCAAATTCAGATAAGGCAACAGGGTACCTTTTAAAAAGGACGAGGAAGCTCTAGTTACCTAAATGAAAAACTTCCCAGGAGATAGTCCAAAGTGAAAAAGGCAAGATGCAAAATGATGTATGGGGATGTGATCTTACAGGAGAGAAAACATAAAAATAAGGCTATTTATATGGACTACATATTTGTCCCCTCCAAATCTCATGTTGAAAATTGATCCTACAGGCTCACGCCTGTAGCCCCAACTCTTTGGGAAGCCGAGGCGGTTGGATCACCTGTGGTCAGGAGTTCGAGACCAGCCTGACCAATATGGTAAAAACCCCACTCTACTAAAAGAACAGAAATTACCAGGGCGTGGTGGCAGGCGCCTGTAATCCCAGGTGCTCTGGAGGCTGAGGCAGGAGAATTGCTTGAGCCTGGGAGGCGGAGGTTGCAGTGAGCCAAGATAGTGCCACTTCACTCCAACTTGGGCAACAGAGTGAAACTGTCAAAAAAATAGAAAATTTATTCTGAATGTTGGAGGCCTG